TACTGTAGTTTCCCAGTTGAGTTTTATTGTAACTGCTCTGTGTTGCTTGTCTATATACCCTGAAAAGTACAAACAAGAGGATGAATTTGTCTGATAAAAATTAAATATCTGGTGCCTAGCACAGGGTAGGTACTCAAAATATTTTCCAGTGAATGAATGAGCACTTGATTTTGAGACCTCAGGAATCACTATTTGTATTATAAGCTCTTATAATCTATTCAGAACAGCTTTTCTAAGACCTCTGCTGGGAAGTCATTCCTTTATTACCTTAGCTTGAAATGCTCTCTCGACCTCAAAGCAATAACACTGATTTCTTCTAAATGATTCTGTAATTTAGGTGTCTCACTGACTTAGATCCCCATTACTATCACTGACGCATTAATTACAAAGCTGTTATTGTGCTGATATAAAAACTTACAAACCAGGTTGATTATAATTGTTCAAATGCACTGTGTGATTTACATAGTAGACATATTTATTAGTTTATACAATTTTTAGGACACCTTTAATCCTTAGAATTTTTTTCCTAATTTGACTTTAGTTTTTTCCCTGATTTAGGCTTTACATAATAAAGTATATGTATGTATTGGCTTAATCAAGTTTATTTGCCATCAGCATTCCCTACACTAGGGTGGAGAAAGCTTTCCTACTTACAAGTTTCTCATTCACTGACGAACCCAAGTTCATATAAAAAACAAACTTAAAAAGCCAGTGTATTTAAAATCGTGCCATAAATACCCTATAAAAATTTTGTCTTCTATTTTCAAATGTGTCAATAAATTCATTTGTCCCCCAAATGAGATTTGAATCTGCATGTTTTAATTTGGAACAGCCAATGACTGAACAACCACAATAAATCTGTCATTTAAGGTGCTTCCCCAATTTGGCTTAAGACTGTAGACCAAGTCAAGAGGGACAGACATGGGGCTTTCGCAGCCAAGTGATGGCTGAGGCCGACTCTGATTTCACATGAACTTGGAGAAGATTCAAAAGTACAATTTGTTCAATAATTGCTTCTAGCAGCCTTTTCCCTAAGCATCAAGGCTCTGGCTCATCAGTGCTTTTGCTGTCCAAATAGATAAAAGCAAAATCCAAACCCCCAGACTTGGTGCTATGTACTGAATGTTTGAGACTCCCCAAAATTCATATGTTAAACCCTAATCCCCAGTGTGATGGCATTAGGAGGTAGGGCCATTGGGAGGTGATTAGGTCATGAGCCGAGGTTGGGGGGGGTGCTCATGAATGGGATTAGTGCCTTTATGAGACCGCTGAGAGCTCTCTTGCTCTCTGTCTGCCATGTGAGGATATAAGAAGATTGCCACCTGAAACCCAAAAGAAGTCCCTTATCAGAATTTGACCAATCTGGCACCCTGATCTCAGACTACCATGCCCAGAGTGTGGGAAATAAATTTAATAAACCATTTGGTTTATGGTACTGTGCTATAAAAGCTCAGACTAAGATACTTGGGAGGGACTGCAACACTATGGACCCTCTTCTTAAACATGTTTCCTCTTTTTAACCCTATTTTTATACGTCAAAGTTTCCTTATTCATAGAAGAGATGTTGAAAATATTTAAAATGAAATGGAGGTCAGTAGTCCTCAAATGGACAGAAGTAACATTTATGAACATGATACATGCTAGAGTAAACCATCTTCCTTTTTCTACTTAAAACATAATCCCAATTAAAAAGAAATCATCCCAATTTCTCACTGGATACATACGTGCCCACCAAAATAAAAACAACAAAAAACCCATATTCCTCAGCCTCCCTTGCATTTAAGTTTGGCCTAGGAATTAATTTCTGCCCTGTAAGGCATCAAAGAAATTATTGTATGGAACTTCTGGAAAGTTCCTAAAAAGGGAAAGAATTTTCTGATTTCTATCTTCCTCCTTCCTGTTACTGGGAGATGACACAGAGAAGCTGAAGCCCAGGGAGCCATCTTGATTCAGGATATGAAGAGAGTGGAGCAGCAAGATAAAAGGGGTCTGGGTCCCTGATAACTGTGGGTTCCAGGTAGTCCTAACTGCCTACCTTTAGAGAGCGTAGATCAGCTAATGAGCCACCCAACTAAAAAGCAAAAAGCTTCTGTCTTTCTCAGTCACTGTTACTTTCAACATTTTATTTGTAATATATCTTTATTCTTACTCATTGGTATATCTGCAAATTTCAGACATTATGCTAAATGCTCACTGTCTAGCAACTATGTAAGGTAGGAATTATGATCTCTTTTATGAGTGGGGAAAGTCAGATTCAAATGTGTTACATAATGGACCTAATGGCACCAAGGTAGTAAGTGGTCAAGTCAGAAATCCCAGATCAGATTCTGGAATTTATACTCCTTTCTCCTGCATTACCCCGTTACTCTATAATGTGGGAGTAAATCCCTCCTTGCATCCCTGTAGCTAAAACTCTTAAATCTTCTTATCCACTTTCAAAATTAAGATTAAAAACCTCTGCCTCCTATAGGCACTACTGTGAGGACAAGTGGGTTTATTCCTGTGTAAAGCACTGAAGTCCTTGGGATTTAACCACTATTTGATTTATGCACACAGTTAAAACTATTTAAAACTTTTTTGAACACAAAAAGCCGTTATATAAGAAGACTTCACTTCCAATACAGCCACAATTAACTAATTTGTGCCACAAGCCTACACTTGTTTCAACTGGTTTACAAAATTAAACCCCAAATCACTAATTAACTTCCTGTTCCAGAAATCTATTCTGTGAGGCTCAGTTCACAACTTTGCCCTGTCATCCTGCTGTGGCTGCCTTTTAATGGAAATGTCTCCCATTAAATACTGGAGGAACTGCAAACTGTGTAGTCATACCAACTCACAAAAATACCTTGGTGCCTAAGTAATATACAAGCAGTTCAACTTGGCTGTCTGCAATAAGACTTTGTAATTTTGAAAAAGTAAATCCACACTTCTTGGCCTACGGTTTTATTGTTTGTTTTCCCTCATCTCCAAAAAGAGTAATTTGGACTCCGTGACTGCAAAGGCTAAAAAGACCACCTCTAAAATTCTGGGCTCCCTATAGAAAATGTGGCATTGAAAATGCTTCGTGGTTATGTCTAGAGTCAAACAGACAGGGATTAAAATCCTGGCTATGTGACTTTAGGCAAATTATATAATCTAAGTTTGTTTTTCTCATTAGTAAAATGGATATCATAATATGATCTATAATACATCAGAGTTCCAAAGATGTTTAAAAGAGATAATGAGTGTAGAGTTGTATATCAATTTCCTCTTGCTTCTATAATAAATTACTGTTAAGTTTAGTAATTTGGCCTACAATAACACAAATTTATTATTATATAAGTTCTGGAAGTCAGAAGTCCAGTACGGGTATCACTGGACCAAAATCAAGGTATTGTCTGGGCTATGTTCCTTGGGAAGGCTCAGAATTAGTAAATGCTCCTTGAGGTTGTTGGTAGAATTCAGTTCATTGTGGCTATGGGACTAAGGTCCCTCTTTCTTTACTGGCTGTCAACTGAGGGCTGTTCCCATCTTAGAGAGTCGTCCAAAATCCTTTGCTCATGGCTCCCTTCCACCATCTTCAAAGCCAGAAATACCAACTGAAGTCCCACTGAAGTCTGAAATCTCTCCTGTCTCATCCTTGATTATCATACATCTCTGACAAACACTTCTGCCTTCCTCTTCCCCTTATAACTGTTCAGGTGATTACTGTCAACTTACCCAGATAATCCAGGATAATCTCCCTATTTTGAAGTCATCTGCTTAGGAACTTCAATTCCATCTTCAACTTTAATTACTTTTTGTCATGTATGTCACATAATCATAGGTTTACGGGTTAAGGACGTGGACATCTTTGGGGTCAATAATCTATTTATTGTAAGCTCTGAGCATAATACCTGGCATATAGTTAAATCCTCAATAAATAATAATATCTAATACTCACCTTTACTCACTGCCAGGTAATGACCTAAGTGCTGTATAGATATTTATGTAGTTCATCTAGCTAACAATCCCCATAAATACTAACAACATCATCCACAGGGCGCCTGGGTGGTGCAGTCGGTTAAGCGGCTAGCTCTTGATGTCTGGTCCGGTAGTAATCTCAGGGTCCTGGCATGGAGCCCTGCGTTGGGCTCCATGCTGAGCAGGGAGTCTGCTTGAGGATTCTCTCTCCCTCTCCTGCTGCCCCTCCCCCCCATTTGTGCTTGCTCTCTCTCTCTCTCTCTCTCTTTAGAATAAATAATCTTTTTAAAATAAGAAAATGAGACATGGAAATAAAGATTTTCATTGAGCAAGTAAAAGGCAGAACAAATTGAACCCAGGCAGTCTGGCTCTACAAGCGGTACCTTTAAGCTAACTCATTCTTCCTCCTCATTTTAAATGTTATAACAATCAGGAAACCAAGAAAGCCTTTGCTTAAACTAATACCAGGAATGCTAAATTATTTCAATATAAGGCAATAGCAATATTAGTATTTATTTGGCATGTGTTCTCATTATATCTTCTCTTCTTTGTCCTAGGATATGGGCTCACCTGGGTCCAGGACTGACATTTCTTTATCATTCTACTTTGAGTCTTAACAGGTGACTGGGGAGGAAAATCCTTGCTAAAATAAGGTAGTCTTTATGGGAAGAATCTAACCGATATACCTAACTCTTTTTAGATTTCAAAAATTGGGGTGCAATCTGCCTTCAGCTCGGGTCATGATCTCAGGATCCTGGGATCGAGCCCTACATTGGGCTCCCTGCTCAGTGGGGAGTCTGCTTCTCCCTCTCCCTCTACCCCTCTCTCCACTCATGCTCTCTCTCTGTCTCTCTCAAATAAATAAATAAGATCTTAAAAAAATAGATTTCAAAAGTTGCTTACTATCTTCACAAGAGTATTATAGAACCAAAAATACTACTGTCTTCCTTTTTCAACACCTCATATTCTACTCATTTCATATTGAAAACCTACTTTGACATCACCATGGAAAGCAAGAAGAAAGCAAATCACCATTATTTTGGACAACAAAATACCTTTCATTCTCCTGGATGATCATATCTCCTTTCTTCCATGAACAGAGTGGTTTGGGGGAGGCTCTAGGTTTACAATCCAAGCTGACCATGCTGCCCACCTGCACCTGAATCAACTTTTTCATTGGAGTCTTTGAAAAATCTGGAGCAGAAGCTGAAAGGCAAGAAAGAAGAGAGAATGAGAATGTATTATTTATTAAATAAATAATTACTTATTAAGTAAATTAGAATTTAATATTTTAAAATTCCTGTAGGTTCCAAGGTTGACTTTATAACCACTTAAGTTTCCCAGCACACAGATATCAGTACTTGATTCAACGGACCACTCACAGGATTTCAGTGCTCAAAAACTAATTCCTACTATTGTGTTTTCTAGGAAGTTCTAAATCTTGGGGCGATTATTTTATATAGGAATTTTTAAAGCTTATTGTGAAGTTTTAAAATAGCTCAATCGTGAGCTTATTAAAATGAAAAACATTTATCATAGACTGTTCTTGAAAGTTAGTTCCATGCAGACAACAATAGAGTCAGTCTCTCCTGTGATCTCCGAGACTAAGCACGTGGCAGTGTCTGGCACTCAGTAGGTACTCAGTAAATGTTTTTAGAATGAAGGCTGAATACTGAATTATTATTCTCTTGCATAAAAATTATCAAGATCTCTTATAAAATTTTCACATGGTTAGGTTTAACTTCTTAGATGGAGAAATATATAATATGAATTATTATATTAATGTTACAGTTATGACATTAAACACAATAATATGTAGAGAACCTTATATCTGCTAATAATGCACGCAATGCTGATCCTGAAACACCTTAACATTCAAGATACCTAATAATGTATCATTTGAATGAAAAGATACTTTAATCAGAAAGTCACTCTTCCTTTTATTGCAAATGTGGAAAATGTTAACCAAACAGTGCATTTCTCCTAACGTCTAATGCTCCATTTTATGGAAAATTCCAGTGAACACAATTTATTTATTTTTTTGATAAGTGGAGATCATATAGAGAATTATATTATGTGGTTATATATAAGATGGTGGATAAAGAAGATATGTTACCCAGAGGTTGCTGGCCTTAAAACGTAAGATCTTAAAAGAATACCTTTGACTAAAAAAAACCCCTTTGTATTTGAATGAATCATAATATATTTTTTAAACTTTTTAAAAATGATTTTATTTATTTACTTGAGAGGGAGAGAGAGCACAAACAGGGGGAGCAGCTGAGGGAAAAGCAGGTTCCCCACTGAGCAAGGAGCCCGATGCAGGGCTCCATCCCAGGACCCTGGGATCATGACCTGAGCCAAAGGCAGACGCTTAACTGACTGAGCCACCCAGGCACCCTGAATTATATAGATTTTAATATATATTTTTCCCATACGAAAGCCTCATACAACATGTTGTGTAGGAAATCATCCACTTTACCATGAATGAACTACCACTCATAAGGCTAATTTAATACAAGAATACAGCAATGCTTCAACTTAAGACTATGTACAAATTCCACTCTCTTTTTGTTATAATACCCCACCTCTCTGTCATGGATAAAAGTAGCCAGATTTTCAGTTGATGACCCGCCCTTCCCAGACTTTAGGCCTCCTAGTGCAGATGGTATTTTTCTAACCTCCAGGCATCAGGGATGAGAGACCTCCCATTAGACCAGCGTTTCTCAGTGTGGCACCTGACATTTGGGGCTGCATAATTATTTGCTGTGAGAGGCTGTCTTGTGCACTGTAGGATATTTACATTGTAGGATTATTTGTGGGTAGCCTTTCTGGCCTCTACCCACATGATGCCAGTAAGACACACTGGCTCCTTTCTTCTCCTATCTGTCCCCAATATTGTGACAACCAAACATGTCTCCCAACATTTCCAAATATTTCTTGGGGGCAAAATCATCCCTGACTGAGGACCGCTGAGTTAGATCCATCAGGGCCTTCCAACCTTTGGGTCATATGGATTGGACCAGTCATGGGTAGGTGACCCAAATCAGCTACACAGGGCCAATGACATGCAAGATGGTGATTATTCTATTAGAGTAATTCAGAAAGCTGTGCTTCTTCCATTAGATTGACTATGGTCATAGAAACTGAATGTGCTGGGGAACACCATGTAGGTTCTGATGATGGTGATGATGCTTGAGCCCTGGATCATGTTCTGCTCAGATCCAAATCTGTACTTTAATTGCATGGAGCAATAAATTTTGTTTCTTCTTTTTCTCTTATGTATGTCGTACTATGCTATGCTCTGACAATTTTGGTTCCTTTTCAGGCATTTGCCACTTTCAAAGTGTTTTTCTGGATAATCGCTCTAAACACGATATAACATTTTCTATCTTTTCATATACTTAAAGTGCAAGAAGAAGAAAACAATTCATAACTTCAAATTGTTGAGCCTTGTTCATTAAAACTTCAGTATGCCCAATGTTGGATGCTTCGAGCAGGGTCACTAAAAACAAAAGCAACTCCTTGCGGATCAGTAAAGTACTATTTTGAATTCTGTTTACTTTTCTGGCCCAGCAACAGAAAACACCAAATTCACTTAGTCTCTTAAAAGGCATTGCTTAGTTTGTAATATCAGAGTTGGATAAGGATGTTTTAAGTCAACACCGTTTCATTACTGTTGCTCTCTACTTCAACCTCTGAGGTTTATTCTGGCCACAATTGCTGCTTTTCCTTAGAAATCATTAAAAAACATTCCCTGATGAAAAACCCTGAATGATATTATTACAATACTGTAGATAATATAGGAATATAATAGGGGAAGTACACATTTCTGGTTCTAGAGGATTTAAGAAAAAAATATGACAAGAGAAGCTTAGTCTTACCTACAACCTTAAGTTCGGCACTGGAATAGACGAGACCATGTTTGTTTTCTGCGATGCACTGGAACATGCCAGAATCAGTCACGTTTAGGTTCGATATTGTAAGGGCACCATTTTCTATCTGTATTCTCTCCTAGGTGATAACAAAAATCTCTTGCATATAAATGTATATATCATTTTAAAAGAAAAATGAAAACCACTATTCTTTCAATCATACACAAACCTCCTTCATTTTCTTCAGAGTATTAGGCAATCTGACCTGAAATGGTAACATTTCCTTATTTGAAAATCTGTGACGATTTAACATAACAGCCACACAGTAGAAATACTAATAAACACCCTTCAGTCCAAATGTCTAACAGTAAAATAAATAACAAAGCAAGAGGTAAAATACTGTTGGCATTTCATTTTTCCTTATGGTTAAAGTTGCAGAGTTTAAAAAACGTATCATGTTTCCATCCCATCAACTGGAAAGGTTTTCACCATTTTTGTAGTCATGCAAATTAAAGACATTATAAATTCTGTGCATTAGAAAAGGTTCTGGAAAATACATTTTTTAAGGGTTTTTAGGTAGTATGACAGGTTATATATAGAAATTTGAAAGAACCTAATTGACTTAGTACATAATTTTTTAAAAGAGCAAAAATAACATGGCTTAAGAAAGAAAGTGATTGAGAAAATAAGTACTCATGTAAGAAGGTACCCATGTAACAATGCATTTAGTCTCCAGAGGTCATACCAAGTTGTCAAACAGGGAAAAAGAAATTATATTCCACATTTGATTAAAGTCAGGTCTTCTCTAATTTCAAAAGCAAATAATAATAATAGTAATAATAATAATAATATCAGTTTTAGACTAAATTCACAAAATCATCTCATGAAATTCATTTGTTGAAAATATTTCCTTCTTGGCAGACTGGGTACTTGATTTTATATTTTTCCTCCTTTTACCACTTTTTAGGTTCAAATGAATGTGTGCAAACTCAATAGTTGACTTTGGCACTAGGTACGAGGAGGGCATTTATTCAACACAAAACGAAGGGAGGAAGGATTAACCAGGCTCATTACCTTACCTCAAGCACAAGGGCTTCTCCGTTTTTCAACCATCGGTAGGAGGGTTTGGGCTTACCACTTGCCCGGCATTCCCAAAAAAGACTGTCCTCCACTGCTATTTCTACATCTTTTATGAGCTGAACCCAATGAGGCTTTGCTGCAAGGAAAAAAAAAAATCAAACCACCCAGCAGATAAAAAATAAATACTTTCTACAAATAGATATAAACACTGTGAGCAATGGATTAATATGAGCATAGTGGCTAAAATTATATTTAATACCCTATTTACTAAGTGGATATGGGAAACATTTCTAGATTTGAGGGTGGATGTTGCAATCTGTCACTTCCTAAGCCAAACTCATTATGCCTTCTCTGTTTTCAAAATTCTGGGCACTGTATTATGTTTTTTTGTTTGTTTGTTTGTTTGTTTGTTTTTAAAGAAGGAGAGAGCGGGGATGGGAGGAACAGAGGGAGAGGGAGAAAGAGAGAGAATCTGAGAATCTTAAGCAGGCTCCATACCCAGCACAGAGCCTGACGCCGGGCTTGGTCTCATGACTCTGAGATCATGACCTGAGCCGAAATCAAAAGTCAGAGGCTTAAATGACTGAGCCACCCAGGCGCCCCAGCACTGTATTATATAATTCAGATGTGTATTAGTAGCTGGTAATATGCAGGTACCCAAAAGAGACTCCTTTCCAAGTGCATTTGTGAGTCATAAGGTCACAATTGATGACAACTTACTACATGAATGACAGCAGCTACTAGTCTTAATTATGCACTAAAAATTAACATCCGTAGAAGGGAAACTTCTACAGCCGAGGAAAAAAAAACATTTCCCTCAAGTTAGAAATAACTTTCAATTAAATACAAACCAATGAGCATCTTATGAACCTCCGTGTGAATTAAAATGAAGGCAGAGAAAGACGGATAAATTGGTTCAATTTGAATCATGATTTTTTATGAAAAAGAAGTAGCTCATGCACCGTTAAATTATGTATGCAAATCAGTGGCATCAAGTGGATTTATCATTTTCTCTTACATTTTAGAAGATATTTGGAAAATTCTTTTTACACATGAAAGCAACATACCACTTAACAACTAACGCCACTCTATATACACAGTATATTCAGCCAAGTCTCAGCTTGCATTTTAGATCCAAAACTGGGAGGTGAGATGTCTTACTGGTTTCACATTGCATTATGCATGTGATGTCTACTGTGGGATTTACATTTGCATCCTCCATATGGAGAAACAGTTTATCTATTTCTATTTAATTGCAACCATGGGAAGATTTGTCTTTCCATTCCTATCTCATAAAATTGCTTTTTTTTTAATAAAGGAAACTGAAATGAAAATACAGCTATTTAGCTTTCAGAGAAAATCTACTGGTCTAAATTTTACCTTAGTATAATTACTATTATTTTTTATTTAAATGATGTGCCCAGTCTGAAGTGTAGTTCAGTCCAAAATCACTTCACTCTACTTATATTAAAGCACATTTTCTTCTTTCATGAAATATCAGCCTTCATGGAATAAGACTGCAAAGAGACTCATACATGAGGCCTTGACTAAGACTCAAGTTTCTAGCAAAAAATTCCACTGGCTTCTTAATACTACTGTTCTTCTTCTCCAAATGGGAGGAAAATTTGCTGGACTGAAGCCAATCCTGAGATTACAACTGCCATGTTAACTGTGATTTCCCCCTTATTCTATCATATGAGATCCAAATACTTTATCAGACTATTTCTTACACGAAATATTAGAACAGATAACCAGAGAACTGCATGGCACTGATGGAATATACTAGTCTTAAGCCAGAAATGTAGAGTAACTTTCATGAGACACCTGATCTCATTAATTTCTGATTTATTTCTTGGGTATATATCATATCACCTACCTAATGGAATAAAACAGTAGTCAGTATAGTGGATGATGTTGGTTGTCTGTTGTGCATCCATTTCCTTCTTTCTTTATTTGTAAAATAACACCCATTTCTCTTTGAACTATCCTTTCTTCCATCACCTCACACTGTCCATAAAATTTAGGGAAACCTGACGATATTCCCTGTTCCAAACAGAGGCTCTTAAGTTGTTTAAGCCAATTCTCCTTGCTAGTGACTGGTTTTGGAACAAACTTGTGGGCAATGAGATTTGAGAAGGGAATTGCAAGATGTTTTGGAGACAGGAAGAATGAACAAGGACTCATGTTCTAGTCGCTGTAGGCAGCCATTTTGTGAGTCTACCAGAGACCACCATGCAGAGAAAGGGAAAAGACAGATAAGGGCAGAACCAAAATCACAGAGAAACTGAGCAGGGGCCTGATTATAAGGTCCTTGAACACCAACTTAGCTTTGAATTTCTCGTCCTATGAGGCATACAGTTGTTTATTATTTAGGCAGGGTTGCTGTTCCACAGAGCTAAAACATTCCTGCTGAAACATTCAGACAGTTGAAATATCTTGTGTTTTCTTGTAATGGTCACTTCTTACCCTGGGTCAAGTAATGGTTTCTCGGAGAGACTCCTTTAGAGCTTTCTCCTATGAGAAAAAGGCATTTGCTTTGGGTGTTTTTAGAGCTTAACAGTCACATGGCTTAAGTGCCCCCCAACCCACCTCTTTATTATCCCACCAGCATGTAGACCTTGACACCTGGGGAACCTCACCTTGGTGCTATGTATTCTAATGCAATCATGTAACGAGAGAGTTAAAAAACACAGAATGACTCATGATATTAAACCCAACCTCCATTTTGTTCCTGACAGATCCTAAAATCTTACAATAGTTGAACAGGTGTCAATCTAATCGTAACTAATACAAATTTTTTGAGGCAGGTCATAAAAAGCCCTATAATTTTAATATTTGTCTTTGCAAATGTTTTCCTCCCTAAAACATTTATGTATGCAAACTGTTTCCATTTCCACTTTCTAAAATAAATAGAATGCAATGCGATTTGCCTTTCACAAAAGTGGTCAATTCCCACTCATTTTACAGTGTTTCTAACAATTAAACTGAAAGTTTAACCGAGCATATATCTTTAACTATATTACAGTACATTTTGTAAAATCATGTAATTATACTTTCTAAATCATGCTTTCTTCAAAAAACCTCATTTTTTTAATAAAGGTGATTTGAAAACAAATTTTGAAAAGAAAATTTAATTTTTCTATGCCAATAGACTATAAAGGTAGCATTATTATCCTTCCCTTACCTAAACTGAACAGTACATCAAATCTAGTTCATAAAACAATAAAACATAAAAACACCAATCTAGTTCATAAAATCAAATAAATGTGATTATAAATTAAAGGAAGCAAACACAGCAGAGTTACATTACTGGAAGGGAGAGAATTAACACTGAAGAACTCAAGAGCCTAAGTTGATGTGATTTGTCTAAGGCAGTAATTACAAGTTCTCTCCCTCAACAGTTTCTTTCTGCTTAGTAAAGATCATTAAGAAAGATACAAAGTCACATTTCCTAGGGGAGAGGACAGACACAAAGGAGATCACTCCTTGATATGATCAAGTGTACAGAACATTACTTGTAGAAAAAAAGTGAAATATTCATTTTTATATGAATCATTTTAAAACGCAAATAGAATATGTCAAGTCTCCAACTCCACTGCAGAACGTTACTGCTTTTTAATTCCTCCTAAATATTCATCCTCATTTAACAAAACGCAGAACAGAACAAGTTGCACACTGGCATTCTGCCGTCATTTCCCGCCGCCCAACATTTTATTGAGAGAGCAAAAGCTAAAAATCCAATTTGCCCAAAGTAGATGCTCACCATAGTAAGTGAGACGCCCTCTGGCGACATTTCTTCCTCGGGAATTCTCAGCAATGCATTCATAGGAACCCGTATCTTCCTGTTGGAAGTTGGGGATTTCAAGCACACCATTGAACTTCCTCAGTTTAATTTTACTGGAAAAGGGCAGTCCATCACTTCTCCTCCAATTAATCTGAGGTACAGGACTAAGAAGAAAATTGTCAAGTTATTCCTATTTTAAACAGATGCCTGGATGCATTTTAGGCTTGACAAAATAAACCTTTTGTTAGGATAGAGCAAAAAGGCACCAGGTATCAAATGCAGAACATTTCCAGTTGTCAATTACATAAAACTGATACAAGGATATACCTAACTTGATATTTTAATAAAATAAGTTGTGCATTTTCTTGAGTTAATTCATGATTTAGAAAAAAAAAAAGTTGAACACAGAATACAACAAACGAGCAAGCAAAAGAAAAATAACACCAACCTAGTTCATAAAATTAGGCAGGTACAGTCATTTTCTGCAAACTGTCTTTAAAGTTTCAACCCAAATTATATATGTGCATTTTGCTTATATTTTATTTTTCCTTTGCTTCTAAATGAAAGAAAATTTTAGAAAATAAGGAAAAGAAGAGTCTGTCAAAAACTATCTTGATCTTTTACAGCAAACTATTTCAGCACATTGGAGTAAATGTTATAAAACTTACTTTCCAAGAGCAAAACATTCCAATTTCACAGTTGCACCTTTAGCTGCTGGAAGAGTTTCTGGAAACTGCACTTCTATTTTTGGTTCATATTCACCCATCACACCTGTAAATCCACAATACAAGTTTAATAGTTTCAACGTTTCCTTTGGAATGGTCCCATTTTTCTTACATAAAACTTTCTTTTGCTCCATTTTGAACTAGTTGCCCTAATGATTTAAATTACTCACTCACTAGCCATCCCTTAGGTACTTTTCAAAGCAGAGATAACTGGGCCAAACATGCAACATTACTAAACATCAGGGACCTTGGATTCCATGATTCATAAATTACCAAGAAAACCATTACGCCCTTTACATTGTGTAAAATGGGAGACCTTTTCATTCTGCATTTAATCTGGACATTTCTAGTCAAACTGAAATATACAATGTATTATGACTTCCTGAAATATCCTAAAGAGCAAAAATTATGGGAGGGAATTTACTTAATGGTACCCTGGTAGCAGAGAAACCAATCTTAAACTTATTAAATGGCACCCTGGAGACAAGAAACAGTAACTTAATAAATGAGAAAGATCAAATTCAGTTATAACTGACTGGAGAGAAATGCTTAGATCCTATGTGGTCATGGCATTGTGCTGTATCAGATATGGTTTTGTGTAAGGGGGGCAGTTCTACAGGCTTACAAATCTGCTTCCTCTGAAGCTCATGTGCATTGCACTGAAATAGCAATGAAGGGGTTGAGCAAACATTTTTTTCTTTGTAGCTTTACTGAAGTATGATTAGCAAATAAAGATTACATATATTTAGACTGTACAACCTGTTTTTTTTTTACTGTGTACAATGTGATGATTTAATGTATGTATACATTGTTAAATGATTATGTCAATCAAGTTAACACATCTAGCACCTCACATAGATACCATTTTAATTTCTAAATATTCTCTGGTAAGAACATGTCAGATCTACTCTCTTAGCAAATTTCAAGTATCAATACAGTATTATTAATTATAATCACTATGCTGTTGGGGATGGGGGAAATGGGGAGTGGATGGTCAAAGAGTACAACCTTCCAGTTATAAAATGAGTAAGCTTTGGGAATCTAGTGTACAGTTATTTATTTATTTAATTTTTTTTCCATTTTTAAAAATTTAAATTCAATTAATTAACATATAATCTATTATTGGTTTCTTAGGTAGAGGTCAGTGAATTGTCAGTTTTACATAATACCCAGGGCTCATTACATCACGGGGCCTCCTTAATGTCTATCACCCAGTTACCCCATCCCCACACCTCCCTCCCTCTAGTGTACATTTAAAAAAAATTTTAAGAGATGCTTTACATCCTGTAACAGGATGACCGCAGCTTGAAGAACCTCAAGGTGGCTGAAATCAGGAAAGGTGACTTCATGACAATGCAACCTGAGCCCCAGGCTCGAGAACCTCATGCTTGGTTCAATGGTCTCCTATCAACATCTTGAAATACTTAGTAATTTCTGAAAAATGGATCCGCCATTTGTATTTTGCACTCATCTTGAAAACTATAAAGCTGGTCCTGGGAAGGATTAGGTACAAGGACCTATGGTTAATGAAATAATCCTCATCATTGTACTCAAATATTTTTGTTCCCCCAAAAATGAAATAATTCTTCGTGATATACTTTTCACTTTAACCCATTTGTTTTTGCTAGTATTCACAACATTTACATTTAGAGTTGCACCTTGAAAGATGTCCTACCATCAGAACGTAGCACCAGAGGAGTTGGGGAGCCCAGCACCCTAGCGTTCGTCACTGTACTTGTCACCACACATGTGTAATTACCCACATCGGATGGCTCAACCTTCGCTATATAGAGGTGGCCTGTCTCTTGAGAGACAAATCTCCGACTGTCTTCTTCAACAAATGATGGATATTCATTGAAGATCCAAGCATATGACAGTTCTAATAAAATTTGGGAAAAAAAGAAATTCCATCATTAAGGAAAGTTTTCCATATTATACTAAAAAATACACAAAACCGCCTTTACCACAAAGTACTGCTCAGTGCTTTTATTGCAGGTCATGAAGAGAAAGAGTTCTGTGAGTTGATTCTGCGGTCATTCTGCATTATGGTGGAGGACACTGCTGATTAGCATTCTCGTGGGAGCAATAGTTATTACCATCATCATTATCACTACTCCAGACATCTCCTGACAAGTCTCTCTGGCTTCATCTTTCTCCCTTTTAATTTGTATCTCCACACCACACATTCTGTGATCTTTCAAATTTACCAATCTCATCATGTCAATTTCTGATATAACAGTTTTCTGCAATTTCTTGGGAATAATGCAAAATTTCTTAACCTGAATGGGAGTCTCTGCAGGGTTAAGGCCCTGCTTATTTAGCCTTAGCACCTGGGTGTCTTTGCACTTGCTGCTCTAGAAGCCTGCAGTGTCCTTCTTCTCTGTCCACTCTTCTGCCTTCCTCCCCCCTTTCAACACTAAACCCCATTTTGCCACAATAACTTCCAGATGGTTTTCAAAGCGTGGTTCCAAATATAAGGAACCGCCTCCTCAGAGAATTCTTCCTTCATCCTTGTCCTTAGGGTAGATTCTCCTATCTAGAGCAACTCTACACTCACATCAGTTAAAGCACTTACTGCTTGTATGTAATGGTCTGTTTAGTTTTCTGTCCTCCCACCACTTGGTAAACACTGATGTCAACTTTTATCCTGACTACCCTCCCCCACCGATTAGCAAAATGAAATATCCAAAGACACTTAATAGTCCTCAATAAACATTTATTGAGTTAATTAAGGATACAATTATGCTACCATCTTCTATGTAAAGTCCAATATGAGTTTTCTTGACTTTCAGGGTCAAGGTAAACCAACTTTCTCCAAAGGAACTAATGTTCTTCTACTCTGTGATAATGAGGGTAAATAATACGATCCTGCATTGTTCTAGATGCCTGCATTTTTCAGAGGCAAGTTGTTATTTAAGCACAGTTACCATGGTTGGCTCATTTGATTCCTTCTTTTCCATGGTCCTACTGTCTTTGACAATTTCATCAGCCTTACTATATTGGTTCATTACTGTAATAATTTTCAAAAGAATTTTCGGAAAATGTATGTAATGAAAATAAATTCGGCGAGTAACAAATTCAAAATATATTGAAGGCATAATTCCAGGGGTGAAGGGCCTTTACTTTTGGTAAAGGGGGATGGTAAGTCAGTACACAAAGAACACTGAGACAATGTAAAAGGGCTGAGTGAGAGTTACTCTGGATTTCAGAGGAAGGAGAGGTGACATTGTCTCATGACTAAAGAATGGGTCTTAAAGGACAGAAGAACATTCTGAGAGGCAGGGATGATAAAAGCACTCCAGATGAAGTGAGGAGCATGTGAAAAGCAAGCAGGGGAGAGAACACGGTAAGTACCTGTTGGCAAGGAGACAGGACTGACTCCCTTCTGCCTTCAATGCAAATGGGAATGTTTGATGATTCCAAAGGTTAGCAATTCAATGGCAAACTGTGCGCACGTTTAGAGACAGGATTTTTAACCTTGAACTGCTCTCCACATCATTCTATCCTATCAGTAGAGTGTCTCATGACATTTCAATCAGTCATCTGATAGGTTGTGAAATCTAAAGTTGTTTGTTGGACTGTATGAAAACAAAACAAAACAAAAACTGTGTCTCAAACGTCCACTCCACAGTTGGCCTCATGCCTACCCCAATGGTGCTTTTCTCTTATAATAGAACTAAATAAACCACAGAGTTAAAGAATGCTGGTCAGGGAAGCTGAGTTCTACAACTGTTGAAATTGACAGCTGTGGAAGCCTGAGCTCCTTAGGCTCTTCTGCTGCACTAAGCATCCAGTCCCACGCCAACATCTCCTAATCCCTGTAACCTCACCTTGCTTTAAAGAGGGCAAAGCCATCTCAGTATGCTTTTCAAAGTGTTCTATCCATGAAGTTAATATGATTGTCCCTTTCCCTTTCATTTTTTATTTAAAAATGTCCCTTTTTTCCAGTGAGTGTAAAACTTCCACTGCTCCCCAACATATATGTTATAGACCTCCGCTGGTGTTAAGCATAAGAAGTCAACCTTATTAAACCAGTTTATACTAAAATGAGAATGGCTGGTGGAAAGAACTCAGATTCAGAGTCAGAAAACCTAAAATCGAATAAATTCATGTAAGAAATACTATATAGCAAGGAGAACGCATGATCAATAAGTACATGCAACACTTTGGAACAAATATTACATATGTAGTTTAGACTGAAATGTGATAAGGCTCCACTTGTAGTATTTTTTCTAATCCCAAATTAATACTGTTAAGATTTAAATATTGTACTATCATGATATTGTCATACAGATATTGTGGTGGCTTTGCCTATATGACCCTAGTAATGAAGGACTGTTAGAAGAGCAGAAAGTCAAAATTATCATCATTTTAAGGCTGCTCCCAAAATGAGCATGGAGAAGTGAATACGGATGAATTGAAGGGTGGGTTGTGGTAGACAAGGAAGTGTCCCATTTGGTCTCACTTCAGGAGAACTTAATGCCTAGAACACAGTTACTGGTAGCTTCCAAACCTGCTAGCCCATGAGTGCTGCGGCTGCACTTTCCTGGGGTTGCTTCTAGCTAATGGATGAAGCCCACTGGGGTGTTCATGCCGGCCCATTCCCCCTGGTGCAGGATTTCCCTCACGGGCAACTCTGGTTGGAGACACCCCATCAGATAACGCCTATTCTCAGAACTTCCTGGTGGTCTGGCGTTCTTCCTATCAAAGTTTTCCTCTCCTCTCTTTGCTCACAAGATATCAGACTTGAATCTCAGACTGAGGTTCCCTCTACCAATTTCTGCTCCCTCCCCATTTATCTTTCACAGGCACTTTCTCCAGGAATTTTTTTTTTTTTTTAGTAACAAGTCTGATCCTCTTATCCCATCTTGGGGTCCGCTTCTCAGAAGACTTGAACTGACACAGTGTTGCTGAAACTGAGTAACAGACTCTCCTCTGTATCAGAAATGGGCCCTTCCCTTAGACCTGGAAGAAATACCTCTTTTACTGACCTCCTTTTCAGTAACTGTGTAATCCCCTCACCTCACCCTCAGGTTCTTCAAATTTACAAACTCATTCCTAATTGATTCTTAGTACCTACCCTCCAGACAAGCCCAGACAAATCAGCATCGGGGAGGAAAACTGTGTAAGCCCATCCTGAGACCTCCACCAAACAAAGAAGAAACAATAGAACCTTCATCCCCCCTGGGCTGTATTACTGAGCAGAAGCCCTAAAACTATCACTCATAATTTGAGAATCCAGTGGAGAAAAGCTGCTGTTTGTAGGAATTAGTACTCCTGCATTCTTCTTTGAGAATCTGTATAATCAGGCAGATTTGGGGGTCTATCGTGGAACGACATACAGGTACCCCTTGAATTACAGAGTGCTTATATTTATGAACCATCGCCCAAAACGTACTGCAGATGTGATCTTCACACAATCATGTGGACTGTATACTCCCTGTATATTATATGGTGTAGAAAGACATCTTAAAGAGTTTTCAACAGCACTCCCTCTCTCTTCACATCCTAATAGCATGGTGTGTATACTTTTGAATTGAAAGTGCAGTAACATGGCCTAACATTGGAATACAGTGTAACCAGAATACCATAAATGGTCTTTCTCCACTATTTCTTCCAAATAGTATATCCTCACAAATACAAGAGAAAAAAAGATCTTTGATGAACAGCACAAAACTTTTAACTCTAATGTTTTGAGCTGGGGTAAACAGGAAAAACAGGAAAGAGGAAGGAAGAGCCACTTTCGGGAAGGAAGAAGTTGTACTGTAAATCGATTCTGAGACTCAGGTAGGTAACCTAGAAGGAAATGCCCAATGGGTGGGTGAGATCTTTAAGTACAAGCTTAGGAGAGAGGGTGGGCCTAATAATGGCACGGCAGGCAGAATCATGACCCCCAGAATATGTCAACACCCTGATCTCTGAAATCTTGAATATGTTACCTGACATGGCAAGAGGGTCTTCGCAGATGTGATTAAATTAAGGATATTGAGATGGGAAGATTATCTTGGATTATCAGGGGTGGGGGGAAGGTCATCATTAGAGTCCTTGTAAGAGGGAAGCAGGAGCGTCAGGGAAGAGGAACGAGGACTGCAGAGGAAGGGGTGTCAGCCAGAGAGTGCTATTTGAAGATGCTATGGTCTTGGTCTGAAGTTGGAAGAAGAGGCATGAGTCAAGGAAAACAGGTGGTTTCCAGAAGCTGGAAGAGGCAAGGCAATGGATTCTCCTCTGGAGCCTTCAGAGCCTTCAGCAGCCCTGTCAACATCTGACACCTTGATTTTAGGTCAGGGACACCTGTATTGGACTTCTGACTTACAGAATTGTAAAATAATAAATCCATGGTGTTTTAAGCCACTACGTTTGTGGTAATTTGCCATACCAGCAAGAGGAAACCAGTAGAAATAGTAATAGTAGTAGATAACAATCAGATGTCGTTATTAAGTCCAAGTGCAGTGCTAAGTGGTAGAGATAAAATTTGCAGAGAAAAACAAATGACCGGAGACCAAAAAATGGAGAAAGCCTGCACTTAGAAGGCCTAAGAAAGAATCATATTTTATACAAAATGATTATAAGACCAATACAGTGGCAGGGGGTGGGGTATTCCAAAAGAGATGACAAATCACAGCAACCCCAAAGCAAATGAATTAGTGTTCTACTGTTTTATACAAAGATTCAGATCCTTGGGATGCATGGGTGGCTCAGTCCATTAAGCTTCTGATTCTTGGTTTCGGCTCAGGTCATGATCTCAGGGTGGTGAGATTGAGCCCTGCCTTGGGCTCCACGCGGGGCATGGAGTTGGCTTGAGATTCTCTCTCTCCCTTCCCCCTCCCCCCGCTAAAAAACAAAACAAAACAAAAAACACACAAAGATTCAGACCCTTAA